AGGAAGGCGGGGGGAGAGGGGGGCTGGTTGGCTGTGTTGCCCCAGTAGCCTGCTATGGGGGGGTTCCAATGGGGAGGTGCCATCAGGTTCATGCCATCTGCCAGGGCGCTGCCCTCCGCCCCCAGCCGGCCACATCTTTTGGGAAGGCCGGGGGAGAGGGGGGCTGGTTGGCTGTGTTGCCCCAGTAGCCTGCTATGGGGGGGTTCCAATGGGGAGGTGCCATCAGGTTCATGCCATCTGCCAGGGCGCTGCCCTCCGCCCCCAGCCGGCCACATCTTTGGGGGTGCCAGGGGAGGAGCGGGCAGCCTGTGCCGATAGCGGGGAACAGGTTTGCCCAGGGCCCGGGCAGCAGCCAGCTGGCTCCAGCCAGGCAGGGGGCACTAGGAGCGGTGCTTGCTCCCAGGCACCGTGCCATGCGTTTCTCAGAGGCACGGCCGCTTGTTACACCAGGGCTGGGGGTGCCAAGCCCAGGCAGTCCCATCCACCACATGATGAACTTGGCACCATGAGGGGTATGATCCCCCCAGCAGGCTCTGAGGCCCCGTCCTGTGTCCTAACAACCGATCTCCAAGGCCCAGTGCCACATAAGGCCCAATAGTCCATAAGGCTCCATATCATGTCTCCTAAGCTCCGGAGCACATATCACCTCACTGCTCTGTGCCACACCCCTGAGCCTCCTTGCACAGAAACTCATAGCGCATCCTCAGGTCCAGCTGCAACGCCACTGCATCCAGCACACTTAACCCAGCAGCAGCCACAGTCCCAAAATGGTGAACTTTGCTAATACCTTGTTCCATCCTTTCTGCACCCTGCTTTAACCACAACAGCCGACTATCGTGTTATCACCAGATCCAGTAACATGGGAGATGTTCACAGGACAGCCAGAAGCCTGCAATGGCCCAGAGCTAAGTCTGCCTGGGGGGCAAAGCTGTCCAAGGCTGATTTGGGCCCATTTTCCAAGAAGCTGCATGCCCCTGACTCTCGCTGAAGTTAATGCAGGTAGAGGGCTCCACACCCCTTTCCAAATCAGGCCAGTGCAGAGTTCGTGACAGCAAAGCCCTGGGGGGTGTGTCTCACACTAGTCTGTATGATACTTCATTGCTGTGCCTCAGTTTCCCTGTGGTAAACAGGGATAATACCCCCCCATCCAAGGTTGTGTTATAGTTTGAGAGCCTGTCTCAGTTGTATTTATGCTGCAGAGCAACCAAGATGAATCGAAGATGAAGTCTTCAAATTTGGGTGTTTAAAATTGTGCACCTAAAGCCTTCTCTGTACAGAAGTGAGCTGATTTCCAGAGGGGCTAATCACCACCGAGCCCCATGACTGCCATCAAGTGCGGAGTGTTGGAAATCAGGCCACTTGTTTGTGTGCCCTGGTAGGGATCTGGGGACCTCACTTCAGACTCCTGCTTCTCCTGCCACCATGTTGTTATGCTTCTCTTTGGCTCCCGCACTGAATGCAATTCTCGCTCTGACGTCAGACCAGAGCGGGTTACAGCTCCCGTGGGAGATGGAAGTCTCTCTGGATGATAACGGCATTCCCAGGATCCAGGCTGGGGGGGGGAGGAGGCCACCTACCTCCAGCAGCCACCTGGGCTTGCAAAGTCTGTCCAGTTGAAATCCCAGGATGTGCCAGTCTATCATTCCCTATGTGAGCGTGCCCTGCAACCGCCGAGGAAAGGGGAGCTCCTCCAGTGCCCCCCAGCACATTACCAGCTTTACCCCCCAGAGAGATGTCTCAACACTTTTGCTATAGCACTCATTGGCTCATGGTCAGATACTTCCAAACCTACAAGTGCATAAGGCAGAGCGCCAGCCACAAGGAGCCTGTATTCAAGGCATTAGCACTGGCAAGCGTAGGCAGGACAGGAAAAGCAACTGGAGAAAGGGCAGCAGCATAGTCTCAAGGTTAATGAACAGGAGAAGTGGGTTAGCTAACCACAGCTCCAGCTCTGCCAGTGTGATACCTCACTGCTGTGCCTCAGTTTCCCTGTGGTAAACAGGGATAATATCCCCCATCCACGGTCATGTCATGGTTTGAGAGCCTGTCTCAATTCTACCTATTCTTCAGAGCAACCAAGTTTATCCACCTGGAAGGATTATTGTGTTATAGATGCTAGAGATTACAGTGTAGACAGGACTGTGGCACTTGGTTATTCTGACCTTAATGTGCATGTCAAGAAGGCAAACACAGCACTAGCAGGTGAGAATGGAAATGCCACGTGTCTTCTTGAGCAGGTATGTGAGCTTATTACACACGCACGCACGCACGGTGTGGATGGGACAATAACTGATATTTCAAGCTATGCCTGATCCCAAATTTAGTGTCACATTTAAGATGGGAAAGTGGAAAATACTGACAGAGGAGGAAGTCTTAAGATTAAAAGCAGGGAATTACTGTTATACATGAAAACAGCAGCAGCTCAGAACCCCATCCTAGGTGGCTTGGCAGAATTCAATTTTTGTTTTCTCATGATTTTGACAGATACGATGGATGTTTATTTTTAAGCATTTACTTATCGATTTACATTTTCACAGTTGCATGAAATTCTGGCCATGAGACAGTAATTATTTAATCACAGGAGGCACTGCGATTCAAGGTTAAAATCTTTTAAAGCACAAATTATCAACCTCTCATGATAAAATATACCAAATACTTATCCTCAAATCAATCCCTAGTAAGTTTCCAAGCAGCATCTTCCTTACTTAGCCAAGCTTTGTGATGATGATAGCTGGAAATACTGTTTTGGCAGTGTGCGGGTGGACAGCAACATCGACCTTTACCAACATTTATCCATAAAAATCTAATCCTTCCAAGTTTGTGTAACTATTTCAGACCCCACATCATTAGCCTGGGGAACTCACTGCTGCAGGGTATGAGAAGGGCAAATGATTTAAGAGAATGCAAAAAAAAAAAAAAAAGAGGGAGCCTGATTCTCTGTCTTCTCCATAGCCCTGCCACTTATGTAACTTGTTACCGGTCAGATGCCTTTCGGTCCCTTCTCACTAGCGTGAATGAAGAGCATCAGAATAGCAACAGCATCTGCAGGCACCATGGCCAAGATGACCAGACTTTCCATTCTCATGCTTCAAGGCAAAAGCTGCTCTCCAGCTGGAGTCAGGGTTCTCTTTGGGAATTCATGGTATATTGGGCCACTGGTCTGGTACCTTGTGTTTATTCCCTCCCGCCCACTGTCCTTTGAAATACCTGCAATATGCTGCTGCTAGAGACACAAGAGCAGCCTGGCTGAACCATTGGGCTGCTCTGAACATTGGCCTCTACTGGAAACTGAGCCAGCAACAGTCTGATGCACACAATTCACCCTGCCTCTCTCCAGCTGTATGTTGCAGGGGCTGGTTGCTTCCACTAGCGGTGGCCAAGTTTGCATGGTTCTTGCAAACTGTTACTTCCCTTATCACGTGCACATCTCTGCAACCTCCCC